GATGGAGAGAGACGGGGAGGGATGGGGAGAGATGGGGACAGATGGGGAGAGATGGGGAGAGATGGGGAGAGATGGGGAGAGATGGGGAGAGATGGGGAGAGATGGGGAGAGACGGGGAGAGATAGGGAGAGATGGGGAGAGATGGGGAGAGATGGGGAGAGATGGGGAGAGATGGGGAGAGACGGGGAGGGATGGGGAGAGATGGGGAGAGACGGGGAGAGATGGGGAGATACGGGGAGATATGGGGAGATATGGGGAGATATGGGGAGATCTCGCCTCTGCGAGCGGCGACGCCTCGCCGGCGGGCGGCAGGGCGACCACAAAGGCGGCGTGGTCCGAGGTGCAGAGCAGCCTCGACCCAACCCTCTGCGGAGGCGCGCGCAGAGGCGCGCGCAGGGCGCACGCGGCGCGCACGGTCGCGGGGAGCTGCCACAGCTCGCGCCGGAGGGCGCCTATTGAGTGAAGTCTTCGATGAGCCGAATGAATCCATTCGAGCTGCCACAGCTCGCGCCGGAGGGCGCCGCCGCGGCCGGCCGAGAGCAGCAGCAGCTCGCCTAGAGGGGTCCGAGAAGGGTCCGAGAAGAGGCGCCCGACAGGCGCCGAGAGCCGCCGCAGCAGCAGCAGCACGCCCGCTCGAAACAGCACCGCGACCGCGTCGCTCGCGCCGCCCTCCTCAGACGGCGGGCACGCGAGAAGCTGCACAGCTCCGCCTCCCACCCGCAGCCGCGGCTCGGCCGGGGAGGGCGCCACCGCCACCGCCGCGGCGTCGTCGGCGTCGGCGGCGGAGAGGCGGGACGCGTGTAGCGTTCCGCTGTCGTCAGCGTGCAGCATCCTTAGGCCGGGGTAGGGGAGGATGGGTTCGGGTACCGTGGGGTAGGGGAGGATGGGTTCGGGTACCGTGGGGTAGGGGAGGATGGGTTCGGGTACCGTAGGGTAGGGGAGGATGGGTTCGGGTACCGTGGGGTAGGGGAGGATGGGTTCGGGTACCGTAGGCCGGTCCCGCCAACGAGGGCGTGGAAGAGGGCGGGGGCGAGCGGGGAGGCGGCCGCTGCGCCGCCGCACGCCGCCGCGCCTTCGCCGGCGTTCCTGACCACGAGCACTGGCGCGAGACGGGCATCGCACATCGCGCCGCACCCCGCCGGCAGAAGACCGCGGGGCAGCGCGTCGGCGCGCGCGAGGAGCGGCCTCGCCGCGGCGGCGAGCGCCGCGAAGCTCCGCATCAGCGGCGCCTCCACCTGCTGCGCGTCGCCAGCCACCGAGGGAAGGCTCCACTCGGACGCGTCCTCGCCGGCGGGCGGCGGCGTCCGCTGTCGCTTGGCTCCGCACGCGGCCGCGGCCGCCGGAGCCGCGCCGAGCCTCCAGCGGCGGCCGTCCGCCGTCACGGCGCTGACCGCGACCGCACTGCCCGTGGCCGAGTCCCACTGCAGGAGCACCGCTCGCGAAGGAAGCCGCCACGTGCGCAGCCGCTCACCGCCGCGGAGCAGGTGGACGAGGTGGCCGCAGACGGTGACCGCGACCAGGTTCGGCGGGCGGGTGGCGAGCAGCGGCTCGTTGTCCTGGAGAGGCGACAGAGCGTGGGAGTCGAGGAGAGAGGTGGCGATGGCGGGAAAGGCAGCCATTATCAAAAAGAAGAAACCCGAGTTTTCTGCTCTGCGCGCGCGCGAAAAACCAATACCACTCACACACACAGGGCGCATGCGTAACGACGCTGCTACAGATGCACTCGGGGGACCGGGGTTAAAACTGCTGAATGAAGCCATGCGTGACCTACTACGATCTACCTTGGAGCAGGTGTGGTGGACGCCTCATGGGGGTGCGCACTCGCGGAGACCGGGTGGCGAGGCGCTCCTCCCGCCGCTTTTGCAAATGTGGTCCGCACAGAACTGAGGGTTGCGCCCTGGCCACCTTGCCGTGAAGTTGGCTGCCGCAAGCGCGAGCGCCATGTCGGACAACACACGACCTCGCAGGATATCATGTTTGCATGTTTCAAGGGACGGGCGTGCCGCGCCCGTCGAGAAGGGAATGAGGGTAGTGTTACGCGCTACAGTAGTCTCGAGGTCTCGAGGTTGAATCCTTTAGGGGGGGGGGGTAGCTAGTCACACATCCATTATAGGCAGACGAGGCTAGTACGCGTTCGGCCTCGGTGCGTTGAAGACTTACTGGCTGGCTGGATCGTCGGCGGCATGATATTCGCTCGTGAAAGTGACGCCGCTCTCCGCCGACTGCTCGGCGTCGATGGGGTCCTTCTTTTCGCCACGAATGCACGTCGCTCGAGTTCTGGCTGAACTATGTACATGTGGTGCTTCGCCATCGCCGGATGCGGGATGGAGCGTGACTTGCGTCGTACTTGCCCTTTTGCCCAAGCTTATCAACGATTGTGCGCCGCTCGTCGCACTCCTCACTCCCCATCTCCCCGATGTCCACATGCTCTCCCAGAGCGTGCTCTCGCTGCAGGTGTGAACAGACTGCAGGTGTTAATAGATTGCAGGTGTGCACAGAGCGTGCTCTCGCTGCAGGTGGACGAGCTCAACGGACCCGCCCTCCAGCTCTACCGCGGGCTCGGCTACGAGGTGGCAGCCGCAGAGGCGCGCCAGCACCGCTGGGAACGGACGCTCTTCATGCGTCCAGCTGCGAACAGGTGGTCGGCAGGGAGCGCGCGTCCACCACGCCGTCGAGGTGGCGGCCTCGCCCCTCCGCTCCTTCGGGTCGCGACATCGCCCCGAGCTCACCCGTGCTCGCCCCGAGATCACCCTAGGTATCGCCTCGTCTCGAAGCTACTGCTCGGCGGTGTGCGGGAGCGGACCTTGCTCGTGCTGCAGAAGCCGCGGCCGCCCGCTGCGGCCGAGGCGGCGGAGCCGGAGGTGCCTCGCGGGCTTGGTGTTGTGGGGCGGTTGCTGTTCGGCGTGAGGTGCCGTTTGAAAGCGCTCAGATAAAAACAAAACTGAAAATCTGGCCGGCACGTCGCCCTAGCCAATGGTACCGACCCAGGTCATGACCGCCACTTTGCTGCACACTTTGACCTCAACCCGCGGCGCGCTGCGCGGCTCTCCGAGCGCGAGAGGAGTCGTCTACGAGGCGGCGGCGAGCGCAGGCGGCGGCGGCGCGGCGGCGCGGCGGCGGATCGCGGCGCAGACAACGGCAGGAATCTGCGGCAGGCTGCTGCCTGCTGCTACAGCAGCAGCTGCTGCTGCTACTGCTCCGCCGCTGCCGATTGTGGACACGATTCCCCCGATCACCCAGCCCGCCCGCTCCGCCCCACCCGCCCGCCTCTCCCCGCTTGCCCGCCCGCCCGCCCGCCCGCCCGCCCGACCGCCCGACCGACCACCCATTCCCATCACCATCTCACATACCTTCATATAGGCGCTCGAGACCTCCTCTCGCTACCTACTCGCTGCCTCGGGGGAGGAGGGGAAGAAGTCGAGCGGGCGCCACTGCGCTCGCCGTCCCGAGGCCCCTCCCCGAAAGGCAAGTTTTAGACCCATGAAACCGAGACCCCTCCCCCCCCGCCCCGATCCCCCCGCCCCCTTGCTCCCCTCCCCCCCTCGGGAGGGCCGAACTGAGGCGCCCGAGGGGACCCCGCAATTCCCTTCCCCCCTCGGAGGGCCGGACTGAGGCGTCGAGGGCCCCACTCTTTCCTTCGCATAGCGGCCACTCTTCGGATCGCTGGTCGAGCGACCCGGGGGATGCCCCGCGCGCCTGACCCAGGCGCGGAAACGAATCTGCGAGGCGTGGCCGCTCATGCGGCCCGATGGGGAGGAACGGGGCAAGCCCCCTCCAACCCACCCGCGCTAGGTCTCGGGTTTGACGCATGGGGTCACTCCCGCGAAACTCGTGAACTAGCCGGGGCAGTCGGAGAAGGGGCAACTCCGTGCACTGACGGTCGGCCGTCAGAAAACACGCCTCCGTGGCTCGGGTTACACCAATCCTCGCTACCCAACGCGGCCAAAGGATATCCACCTCGAGAACCTCGGGAGAGAACCGACCCAGGCTCGTCCCGAATCCAGCCCCATCAGTCCTATGGCGGCAGCCGCCCGCAAGCGCGCCCGCACCGGCGGCGGCGGCGAGGAGGACGAGGAGCCCGTGCCGGTCGCGGGTGGCTTCGAGGCGCCCATCTTTGGCGCGCGCGTGTATGGCCAGGTGACCACGCTCACGCTCGAGGGCGAGGACGGCCCTCTATCGCTCGGTCCGGTTGGCGTCGCGAGCGACCACGCGGGCGCCTGGTACGTCGCGACGAAGGACTCGCTGCTGCACGTCTCGGCGGCCGGGCGCGTGCGCCGCGTGGCAGCCTTGCCGGCAAGCAACGTCTTCAACAGCATTGCTGTCAGCCCGGACAGGAGCGCGGCGTTTGTGGCGGACTACAGCAACCACAAGATCCGGCGGGTGGAGGTGGCGACGGGCGAGGTGACCACGCTTGCGGGAAGCGGCGGCGAGGGCGAGGCCGATGGCGTGGGCGATGCGGCGGAGTTCTGCGGCCCAACTGCCATCACCATCAACCCAGGCGGCGGCGCGCTGTTTGTGGCGGACCAAGACAACCACAAGATCCGGCGGGTTGAGGTGACTACGGGCGAGGTGACGAGTATCGCGGGCAGCGGCGAGCCTGGCGACGCGGACGGCGTGGGCGATGCGGCGGAGTTCTGCGGCCCACGCGGCCTTGCCATCAGCCCAGACGGCGGCGCGCTGTTTGTGGCGGACCAAGGCAACGACAAGATCCGGCGGGTGGAGGTGACGACAGGAGAGGTGACGACGGTCGCTGGAAGCGTCAACGAGGACGAGGGGGGCAACGCTGATGGCGTGGGCGACGCGGCGCAGATCGACGGCCCATCTGGCATCGCCATCAGCCCAGACGGCGGCGCGCTGTTTGTGGCGGACTTAGGCAACAACAAGATCCGGCGGGTTGAGGTGGCGACGGGCGCGGTGACGACGATCGCGGGCAGTGGCAACGAGGGCAGCACTGACGGCGTGGGCGACGCAGCGGAGTTCAACGAACCACTCGAAATCGCCATCAGCGCCGGCGGGAGCACTCTTCTGGTCCGCACAAAGTTTACGGTTGGTTCGAGAGGTGGCCTCCGCCAGGTCTGCCTGGTTGCGCCTACTCCGCCTCCCTCCTTTGCCCCGATCGTCGTTCCGCCCTCCACCTTCTCCGCCGACATGGCGAAGACGTGGGGCGACGCCTCCCTCCCGCAGGGCATGGTCACCTTCCTGGTCGGCGACGACGAGGAGCGCATCGAGCACGTGAGCAAGTGCAACCTCTGCGCCCGGTCCGTTGTCTTTCGGACCATGTTTGGCATCGGCATGAAGGAGCGCGACGCCGCCGAGGTCACGGTGTCCCACACCGACCTCGCCAGCTTCACTGCCCTTGTCCGCTACCTCCTCACCGACAACTTCGACCTCGGCGAGGAGGAGGGCGGCAGGGCGCAGCGCGCGCTCGACCTGCGGGAGCTGGCGCAGATGTACCAGGTGCCGCGCCTCGAGCTGCTCTGCGCGCAGGCGCTGCAGGAGAGCGTCGCGCCGGCGACCGCCGTGCCGCTGCTCGAGGCGGCGCACACGACGGGCGACGGGCGGCTCCTCGCGCAGTGCCGCCGCTACGTGGCCGACCACGCCGCCGAGGTGCGGGCGAGCGGCGGCGTGGAGCAGCTGCGTGACCTGGGCGTGGCCAAGGGGCTGCTCGGCGACGCGCTCGACCAGGTGGCGGAGCTGAAGGGCGCGATGCGCGCGCTCCGCGTCGCGGAGAGCTGAGAACGCCCGATCGAGTACCGGAGCAGTGTGACAGCGCATCGCGCCGAGTACGGAGGGGGCGCGCTCCCCGCGCACCGTTTTGATTTGTCTACGCACCCTACAAGCCCGTGTCCCGATTCCAGCCCTCGAAAAATGCGATCATGTGCGTCAGATGTCCCGGTGGTCATCTTTGGCCAACCTCCGCCTCCGCAGCCCCCGACGGCGCGCACCGCAGTCTCGGCGCAGTCCGCACTGCACTCCCCGCGCCCCCCCCCTCTACGGCCGGCTAGCCGCTACGTACCCCAGCACTGCCAGCAGCGCCATCGAATTAGAGCGGTCGCGCTGCGCAGCGATATTCTTTTTTCGAAAATTCTTTTTTGCGCAGCGTCCCGTGGCCAAATGTGCTGGCTCGTCGCAGGCGATGAGGTCGAGAGGAGCCGATCGGAGCGTCGCAGAGGCTGCCGACCAATCTGTCGTTCGCCCTGGGCCCAGGGGTGGAAGGCAAGCTTCCTGGCGTTTCTGGCGAGCGTCCAGACGTCGCAGAGCATCCGGCAGGCGCGCAGCGACCCAAATTTTTGCTCACCGCACGGCCGTGCGAGCCGTCGGTCCACGGTCGGTCGGGTCGGTCGTCGGTCGGTCTTCTCCTCGGTGGTGATGGTCGGCGTCGGCGCGCGCCGCCCAACGCGGCGGCGGTGGGCGTCATGTGGCGGGCGTGGGACTAGACATTGTGCGAATTTCGTTCTCAGTGATTTGTTGTCTGTGTGGTGTGCCAAGGAGCTAGATAAGATGATAGGGGGTGGCTGTGTGACTAGAAATACAGAGACAGTGATATTGCTGTGTGACTAGCACGTCGTCCCATGGGCAACCAAATTGATTTGTGAGTGACACACACACTCACTCACCAAATTGATTTGAGTATAGAGGATAAAAGAAAAGTATGTACCTGGCACGCATCCCTCAACACCCACGTCACGGACATCGCCCGCGCCTTCGGCGCCTCGGCAAAGGTCATGGAGGTGAGGCTCGGCTGCAGGGACCCGACGCGGGCGCACGATCCGGACACCAACCCGTACCAGCGAGGCGACGGCGTCTTCGGCAACTACGCAGAGTCGGCACGCGCCGTGGTGTACGACGGCACGTGCGTCACCGCGGTGCACCACGACAGGCTGCGCCCGCTGGCGAGCGGCAAGCACCTCGCCACCGACTACGCCGAGGCGACGAAGCGGAAGGCCAAGGCAGCGGCGTGCGACGCCAAAAACTGCGACTTTATGACGTGGGCGGCGAGCACGCGTGGCGGCATCGGGCACGAGGCGGCGACGTGGTTCAACACCAACTTCGACATCAAGGCCGCTAAGGCGTCCTCCGACAGCGAACGATGGCGGGTCAGTAGCGAGCGCAAGCGCTTCCTGCAAGTGCACTCGACCATCGTCGCGAGGCGCAACGCCGCCATCTTCGACTACAACGCGTGGCCGAAGATGGGCGGCGAGATGCCGCGGGCGCCTCGGGTGCAGTACGAATAAGGACGGGCGAGGGAGGAGGGGCGCTGACCACGGGCGACTACGCGTCGAAGGTTCGACGACGACTACTCGCCGCCTGGGTCGTTTGGGGCGCGCGGCTCCGTCGAGGACCAGGCGCGCCCCCTACCCGGCGCGGCGTAGGTCCCACTCTGGCGAAAAGAGGGGAGGCACGGTCGACAGCCCGATCCATCAACTACACTCATCTTCTGGTGCTTGGCCCCGTGCAACAGCGGTCCGGCAGGCTGCCCCCAAGGCCCCCCGGGCCGCTGCGGGTTTGGGAGTTATGCTTAGGCACAGCTTCGGCGATGGCAGCCCCTCTCTGGGGTGTTGCATAGGCGGGGAGTCTCCCCCGCTGGTCTCCTCCTTCCCCTTTTTCTTTTCTTTTGAGAGCAGGACGCCGGGTTTGTCTTGTATGTGCGTGTCGGGCCTGGGTGTGTGCGAGGGGCAGAAGGGGCGGGGGCGTGCAGGGCAGAGGCCCAACGTCGAGCGGCTTGTCGGGGTCCGGAGAATTCGAGGGGGGAACGGGGGGGAATGGGCGGTCGGCGTCGGGGTAGAAGCAACAGGGCGTACGGGGTAGCCGTCACTCTCCTGCCTCAAAAGGGCGGGGCTGTCCCGGAAAGTGAGAGACGCCGGGCAGCGTGGCGCATTACTGAACCCTCCCATACGTGTTTGAGGCTCCTCCTTCGCTGTCCCATCTCCTCATCTCTTTCCCGCCTGGGCGGCCGGTGGGCGGGGCAGCGGGTGGGCGCGCGGTGCGGCGTGGCGTGTGAGTGTGTGCGACTGCAACGACGGACCGCTCAAGGGACCATTGGGTTTGTACTATTAACAACGAAGGCGCTCTCAAAAGAAATCCGCGACCTCCTTCCCGGAATTCCACTGTTGCTTGCAGGAACGATCATGCTGGCTATCGCCCTCTGCGAGGCGTCGCTCGCCCCTCCGCGTAAGACTCCTAGCCGCCGCTCCATCATCGCTGCTGCCCCGGCGATTGCGACCGCCCTGCCTGCTTTTGCGGTCAAGGAGACCGGGTATGCCGCCAACGCGCTCTCCGCCTCGGAGCAGGGCGCCGCCCAGCGCTTCGCCGCTTCGCCGCAGGGCGAGCCGGCGGGCATCCGCTTCGCTGGCAGCTATTCCGATCCGAATCACCCCGGCTGTCCACGCAAGGTCAAGCTGGCGGGCAAGAATGCCGTCATCATTGGTTCTGACGAGGACGGGAAGGCGTGGAAAGTGAAGGCCGAAGTGAGTGGCCGGCGGCTGCTGATCGACTTTACGCCCAAGGGCGGGCCGGCGGATGTGGTTGCCACGTGGACTGGCCTCGGGCTATCCTTCCCTGACGGCAATGTGTGGACCAAGGTATGACCACGGTGACATGAGATCTAGAAATCATTCTCGCAATGAATTTCTTTCGCGTCTAGGGACTCTTGTGATGTGTGAGAGCTATTGCAATACTTAGCGACCAAATACATCATCAAAGGGACACGGTCAACACGGCCCGGGGCCCACGTGCATAGAGCTGTACACGGTGCCGAGCGCATTCGAGACGAGAGCAGATCTGGTCTCTCCCTCTCGCCGTGGGACATGCGGTTGCGGACATCTGTGTGGGACAGCAGAGAGCAGTCGTGCACGCGGCGTGTGGCTGACTGGCTGTGGGGAGAAACGACGTGGCGACGGAGTAATATCGCTGGGAAGACGCGGGCGGGACGGGGATTCGGCACCCGCGCTGGCCGCTGCTACGTGTACGGCTTTACCCGGCAGCTCCGCGAGGCGCAGTACTGGCGCGGTACAGGCGCCGCGAGGTGTCGCGCCGGGCGTGGTGCCCCAGATGCCCAGGAGCCGCTGCACGCGCTACGGCTTTCGCGGCAGGGGAGCGTCAGCCGTCGGTGGCGGCGGCAACTGCGATCTTGCGCAGGATTGCGTAGGGCAGCTGCCACTCCCGCGGGAGGCCGAGGAGCAGGAGGGCGTAGCGCACGCAGCGCTCGCGGTGCTCGTCGTCAATCAGCACGGCGACGGTCGAGGAGGTCCTGCGCTGTGAATACGCCGACATGAGGGCGTGAAGACGGCGTGTTGAGCAGAGCATTCAGAGCACCGCGTGAGTACGAGGGGCCACGAGTACAGCGAAGAGTCCAGCGGATTACGGGCTGAGTACGCGTCCTCTCGAGTGCTGGGTGGGAGACAAGAGTCCGTGTTCCGCTTCTAGGGATGAGGTCCTCGCAGAGTCAACCGCCGATGCGGCGACGACCGCCGGGGCGATGCGGAGCTGGTACCAGCGGGAGGCCGACGGGAACCTGGAGGAGGCGCAGCGCAAGGCAAGGGGTGCGTCGTACATGACGATCGGCCGTCGATCCCGAAGGGTCGTCGGTTGAGCTAGGGAGCCTGGCGATGGACGCCACCGCGACCCCTCGTGGCATCTCTCTCGCCGTCGGCGAGCTAGGGGCTCGCGGACGGCCGATTAATAAACAGTGTACAGCCGTTAGAATTAGTTCAACTGTGAACGGGGACATGTGCGGGACGTGTCTGCCTTCTGCTCTCATTGTCTGCCCTTGAGAGAGACGCCCGCAACCCACGGCTCTTGTTTCGGCCTGATGTCCGACCGACGAGTGAAGGCGCTCCGCGCGAGGATGGTCGACCTGATCGGCGCTACCAACACAGTCATCGACTGCTCTTTAGTTGGAACGAGCAGGAGCGAGCGAGGTCGATGCAGCAGCACTACGCCGGCCTCGATCTCGCCTCGCGCATCGAGAGGCTCGCGCGGGTGACTATGATGGTGTAGTGGCTGGGGGGCTGGGGCAGTGCTCGAGATCATGTTCTACGATGGATGGCGATGGGGGCTGGTCCTGCAACGGCGTCTCGTGCGGAGCAGTGGTGTGCTGTCGCGCGAGGGTTGCAGGCGGGGGTCGAGGGACCTTTCCCCCCTTTGCAATTAACAATGCTTTGGAATCTTTGTGAGATTCTTTTTCCTTCGCGGCAACGCGATGGCGGCAGGCCTCTCTGCGCGCCCGCCCTCGCCACGCCGAAGACCAACCGACGTCGGACCGCGGTGAGACCGCGCCGCCCCCCGCGCCCGCCCGCGCCCGCAGCGTGAACACATACGCGCGTCCCTCGCCGCACGGAAACATACGCGCCAGCCGCGCAGCAGCCTCACATGCAGCGCCGACCGCATGCTCGCGCCCTGGGCCGCCGACGACCCGGTCGGGCGGGCTGCGCGGCCGCCGTACACCATCAGGCAGGCGCGCGACCACCCGCAGCACGCCGCAGCCCACCGCGCAGCCCTGCCAGCCAAGCCTGCGCCTCCCAGCTGCACAAACAGGGCGCAAAACAGAGCACAGCGCACAGCACACACCGGCGGCGCGCGCGCAGCACACACAGACGCGCGCGCGACCGCAGCACGCACACGTACACAGCACGCGCGCGTCGCACGCCAGCGCAGCGCCGCACACAGAGCACACTTGCCCACATCAGCAGCAGCCAGCCTGCCACAATCCTCATCTCACACACGCGCGCACACACTCCCCCCTACCGGGGCAAGCCTTGGGCGTCCCCGAGAGCTCCCAAAGCTG